GGAGATGGACCCTCTTGGAAGGTGTGGGGATTGCTCAGGGACAGGTTTGCAAGGGGATGTGGTGGGTTTACAGCCCATTGTCTGTGCTCGGTGCTACCGTTCGTCAGTGGCTTTTATTCTAGAAGGTGTGGGGTAATTTTGTGCCACTCGCTGGCTTCGGGCGGTTCCTTTGGACAGGGTCTGGGGGGTATTTTTCCCACTTACTCCCAGTTAGGTGGGCGCTGCAGGGGCTGTGCTGTGCCATGGCAGTGCAGGGGGTTGTTTGGTGGATGGGATGGTCCCGGTCCCTCCGGGGAGGTGTGAATGGGTGAGCTGAGCTCGGGGTGCAGCAGCAGGCTCACAGCCCAGCATTGCTGCGTGCTGCAGGGCCGAGCGAGAGCCAAGACCGAGCTTGGGTTAGGCCAGTCCTTAGGAAAACTCTCTTCTGCCTGAGGGAGCAAGACCCTGGGGCTTTGTGGTGGCTGTGGGGACAAGTGTGGGGACAGGAGCTGTGCCCATGGCCACGTGCTGTCTGCAGGATGGGACACACCGTGGGACTTCCCTGCTGCCAGTGAGGAGTTACAGATATCGGGATCAGCACCAGGCTCTGGAGCTGCCGGCTCTGTGTCCTCAGCCCCCCATTCAGGTTTATCGTCCCCCGGGGGTGCCTCTGCCTGGCCGGGCGGTTTGTTCGCTCGGGCTGGGGACATGTGGTGCTGCTCAGGGGTGCGGGAGCCGTCGCTGCCTCCCGCCTTTTGCCTTGAAGCTGCTTCATATCAATGGGGAATAACCGTGTAAAGTCCCCATGGCTTGTCACCAGCCTCCATATTTAGGGTTTTTTCACTCTGCCTTAATTTCCTTTGGCTGTGCCAACTCTGGGTTCCACTGATGCACCTCCAGTGCTGTATTTGTGGCTGCGTTGCGTCCTTGTAGGAGTTTTCTTCCCCCGGTGACCCTCAGCTGTCCTGCTGTTTCCTTGATGAGCTGTTTCCTAGAGGCTTGTCCTCTGAGCTCCTCTTTGCCTCTCCCTCTGCCTTGGATGCCAGACCGATGCACAGGGTCCTTTCCTTCCTTTCCGTCTGGGCAGATCTAAGCTTGCTGCCAGTCGGTGAGCTCCTGTTCCGGGCCGTCCCAGGGGCTGCAGAAGCCTCGGCGGAACTGTAACGACCCCTCTTGCTGTAGGAACCAGGCACCCAGCTTGTCCTGGCTGTGGTTCAGCTGCTCCTGTGGTGCCGAGATGGTTTGTTCCTCTGGAACCAGCAGCAGAACCTTCCCCACATCTCTCCCCGGGCAGCGGGTCTCTCCTGCCAGGAGCTGAAGGACTCCCATCAGCAGCATCTCCGCCTTCAAGGATGGAAAACCGGCCCAAAAACAGGGTGTAGAAACAGCTGGGGGATGTTAACGTGTTTTCTTCTTCCACTCTCTGTAAGAGGACACGAGTGGCACCAGTGACGGCTTTTCCAGCACCAGTGACGGCTTATCCAGCACCAGTGCTGTCCTGTGGAGCGAACTCGGCCAGAGCACCGTGCCACGTCAGCTGTGCCTCGGGTTTAGGAGCATCTTCTTCACCCGGGGAATTCCGGAGCCTGCGGTTGTGGCAGCCGGGAGGAAGAGGACGGCTGATCTCTGCCGCGTTCCCAGCCTGGAAATGGAGAAGGGGGCTCACACCGTGGTGGGTCCATCGCCCGGTGGCTCTGCAGTGCGGGTGCTGGGAGGACCACGCTGTCCTGCCTTCCACTGCGGCAGCGCCGGGTTCTCCAGCCTCAGGGTGCTTCCCAAGGAGCGGGAAATCGGATATTCCAGAGCTCAGCGCTGTTCCAGCTGGGCCATGGGCTCCTTGGTGCCGCTCGCCGGAGTG